GGTAATGGGCCGATAATAAATGCCGGTAATGGGCCGATAATAAATGCCGGTAATGGGCCGATAATAAATGCCGGTAATGGGCCGATAATAAATAAAATAAACTAACATATGTAAAATAAATTGAAATAAATTAAAATAAAATAAAATAACATATATAAAATAATTTAAAATAAATTAAATTAAAATAAAATAAAATTAAATTAAATTATATTAAATAAAATAAAATAAATTAAAATAAATTAAAATAAAATAAAATTAAATTAAATTAAATTAAATTATATTGAATAGAATAAAATAACATTAAATTAAATAAATAAACTAAACTAAAATAACATAAAATATACATATGTTTCAAATTATGTTAATTTGTTCTTACAAAAAAAAACTTTGTTGTTGTTTCAACAATTATTTTATTTTCACTTTAACCACAACAATAATTATTATTATAATATAAATAATTATAAAATTATAATAATAATTACTATTATATTATACGTTGTTAATCTCAAATTAATTTAGATTTATTTTTGAATCTTAAATGTTTGACATTTAATTTTATTATTTATTTTATTCAATTTATTTATTTATTTGCTTCATTTTTTTTTCAAGCAACATTTTTGCGATAAAATCAGCCATTTTCAGAAACATTAAAAAAAGAAAAGAAATAAGAACATATAATTGAAAATATCAATAATTGTCTCATTGTATTAAATTCCTTTAACAAAAATATGATTTTTTCATTTATTTATTTTACTCTGACAAATGTAGTTAATAAAAAAAAAAAAAGGATAAAAAGAAAAGAAAATTTGCTGCAAAATGAGTTTTCACTTTCTCCTAAGACATTTCTAGTAATTTTTTTTTTTTTACTTTTTGTTTTTTCCGTAAACGGTAAACGAGACATTTCAACATATATAAATCACTCTCTATCTCTCTATCATTTTTTTTTTTTTATTGCAAATCATAAATCTAAATGCACATCCGTTGTGGAAGAAAAAAAAAATTGAAAAACAAAAGAAAAAAAAAAGATGTCATTCGTCTCTTTCATTGTACATTTATGCATGTATTTAATCAAACCAACTCGTCAAAATAATGCGTCTCATAACATTACACGTATTATTTACAGGATGCAAACGTCCTGTTGTATTACATTAAAAATTACCAACGTCGGTGCGATGCAATCTATTCGTTGTTCGTGACAAAAAAAAAAAAAGAAAAATGTAAACTAAAGAGAAATCAAACTCATTTTTCAACTGATCATCGAATAAAATAAATAAACTTAAAATAACACTTCATACATATATAATAAATATAATATAATATATTTTAGGGTAAGTCAAAAAAATCAATTATTTTTTTTTTTACAAGTGACACGGAAAAATGGGTTGCTAGACACCTTAAAAAAATTCTCACCAAATATGAGCTCTTCATTTTAATAGGAAGATCCTTCGCATCGCAGTTTTTTATTTTTTGTTCTCAGTCCAATAGAATAAAATTCATACCTCATTATTTATTGATTGTACAGAAAAATGTTCTAGACGAATTTTGTAGGAAATTTAATGCTCTACAAAAAAGGTATCTTATATTTTTTCCGTAAACCTCACCATTTGAATGATATTGATGATTTAAGTTTGATTATTTGAAGAAAAATTTCATTTTTGTTTATGAATTTTATAACTCGACAATAAATGACTATTATAAAATGCACAATAGAAATTTTTGTTGGAAATTAAGTGCTCTATAAAAATGGTGTCTTATGTTTTGGCGATTAAATTAAGCGTTCAAAAGATATTCATCATCAATAATATTATTATTATTATTAAATATAAATAAATATATAAATTTACTAAGATGCTTCAGTCACGCGCGTTATATACTAAGGCTTTGTTATTAAATATTGTGATTCAGTATATTTCTAAAATATTTAATGTAGTCAAATTAATATTCACTAATGAATTCTGGGTGAAGCACGGCATGGCTCAGTTGGTAAAGCGCTCGACTCCCACTCGGAGTTCACGGGTTCGAGTCCCCGCTCTCCGACATTAATCAAGGGGACATGTCTGCTCCTCATATTCGTGGTTCTCTGGGCTCGCGGGCGTCAGAATGATCCCCTTGGGACCACAGCCCAACATTTCATGTGATGGGCCCGGGGGACGGACTGCTTCGCACGGGGCTGCCCGCGGGACCACCACAATGATAAGTGCTCCCCGCAAGGGCCCGGCGGGCAAATGGTCCCAAAAACTGAGCGCCCCCGGTACCCAAACCACACAAAAAAAATAATTTCTGGGTAAATACATATAAAATAATATAATACACGAAAAAATATAAAAAGTAAGAGGTGTTAGTTTTGTATGACGTTGAATATATCCAAATAATTCAATTGCAATATATCGCCAGTTATTGAAAATTAACAGAACTTAGAAACTTAGATAACCTTTAAAATAACAACAAATCCTCATTTGTTAAAAAAAAAAACTAATTCTATAGTCTAAATTGAAAATAAATCACACGAAATAAACAAAAATTGTATTCAAATCGATTGAATAGTTTTGAAATTATAAAAAAAAAACTAGAAAAAAATTAAAATCCATTTAAATAAATTATTTACATTATTGTTGACTAGTTAAAATTAACAATCAATTTTTATATAATTAAATAATTAATTCATTTGTTATATATTAGAATATACGAAAAAAAAATAGAAAAGCAAGGGGGGTTTATGTTCTATGTAAATCTGAAAAAACTTATGACGTAAATATATCCAAATAATTGAATGACAATACAGTGCCATCTATTGAAAACTTACATTTTTTACTGTTATTTTAATTTACAATTTAATTATAATTTAATGATATATTATATAAATTTTAATTATTAAGTAAATTTTGCATTTAATTAAATATAACAATTAAATATTATTATTACACACACATTTAATGTTATATTAATTATTAAAAACAATAATTTTAAATATTATTTTAAATATTTTTGTAAAAATATATTAAAATTTGTTTTTAATTTTTTTTATGTTTTAATTTCTTTACATAGATTTTATATATATATAATAATATATTTATATTTTTATATTAAAAGACGGCATTTATTTGAAACAAATTCAACTTTTCATTTCAAAAATTCAATTTCAAAAAATTATTTAACACAAAAAATGTAAAAAAAAAAAAAAAAGAAAAAAATTGAAAACGAACGATTTTGTAATTTTCAATGCATTCGTCGTTTTATTTCTTACTCTCTCTCTCTCTCTCTCTCATTTATAATTTTTTTCTTTTTTCTTTCTTTGTTTTACAATCGTTCACATTGTAATACACGATTATTAATGCAAAACATTTAATTTAACGATAAAAACATAATTAGATAGAATGGATTGTAACGTTTAAAGGTACAATCATAGTTTTACGACTGCGATCTTCATGTTCTATCTATGCATGTCTCTCTGTTCTATGTATGTATCTATAACTAGATAACTATTATTTAATGTAGTATGATAATGTACAGTAATGCATCAGTGACTAGCATGATATATACATATATATGATTTTAGACCTTCGCGTGAGTTATGCATTTAACGTTGCATTAGATTTGTCATTCATTCAAAATTTTATTATATATATTTACGTTTCATTTATATTAACTTGAAATAATCGTTCATTATCATTTTTTCAAATCACAGTATCCATTACTACTGTACACATTAATAATTTATATTATACGTTATTAAATATGACAAGTACAATTTATTATTTAAAAATAAAAATCAAAAAAAACTTCAACATCCTAGGTTTGATTAAAAAATTATTTTTAAAAAAGTTGAATAATTTATTTTTGAAAAACAAATATTAGGTTGTACAATTTATTAGATTGTTTTTTTTTTTCATTGTTCTAGAAAATTGTTCAAATTTTCTCCCATATAAAATGATACTCCTTACCTCTACCCTCCATATTTTATAATTAACACTAGATACATACCACCATTTTCTACAACACTAGTCAAAATGACTGATGTATAAACAAAAATACTTTTTAAAGGCTTCCAGTCTTTATATTTACTCTTACAAATTAACAAAAAATGTTTAACAATAATAATTTTAATATATCAATGGATTTATATACACATTTTGAAATAACAAAACATTTAAATTATTTACACAATTCAAATGTTATATTTGTGAAGTAGAAATTTTGAATTAAAATGGCGTCAATCAGTCCAAATGACTGGGTCTGGTATATCTAGTGTTAAATCAATGAAATAAAAAAGATATAAAAAATAACATACCAGATTCGAAGAGTTGAAAACCAAAGCTGGTTTCTATTTCGTAACAGGAAACGTCATTGCTGTCTCTTACAATAAAATCTGTAACCCTTTTTACGATTGTATTATCGTTAGACGTCATTATGATGAAAAGTAATACAGCACATACAAAACCTAGTAACAATCTTTTCTTCATTCTTTGGCCGTTTATAGAAAATGGTTTTTTCTGTTTTTTTTTCTTTTCTTATTTTTATCTTTTAATTTGATTCAATTTTATCATTAATTTGAACAAATCAAACGAATTTTCTTCTTTGTATTTCGTCACACTCCAAAGCATATTTTGTGTTAGGTACCTAAAACAAACAAAATACATGTTAATAATAATAATAATGTTTAATATATATCATTACATATATATGTAATTTGCATATATATGTATAATATGTAATATATATGATGCAAATGGTCGCCATATTGAACCTTTTTTGTAAATAGACATAAAAATTAAAATATCTCTCCTAAAGTAATAATTTTTTTAACATAAATAGGTTAATACTATTTTGTAAATAATATGAAAGAGCATCAGATGATGCAATGAAAAATATATGATTCCATTTAAAAAAACATTAATGACCTTCATATGTCCTTTACACGTCCATTTACAAAAAAAAAAGGTCCATCAATATGAACTCCTTTTAAAGCCATTTCAACTCTATGTGAAACATTGTCTGCTATGCGTAATAATAATAACGTAAATTTAGATGGTAAAATGTGGTGACCCACCCTGTATATATGAGCCGTTTAAAATAATAAAACAATCATCTAATATTCATTTCTAAATTATGAACAGTCAAGAAAAAAAACAATGAAAACAATTATAATCACGTATTACATTTATTTTCATTTTATTTTTAGGTTAGTTTTTATAATTTTTGATTTTTGGAACAATTGAGCCGTTTATTTGGAAAGTGGCCTAACTCTATTTTCCAAAAAAATCAAGTTAGCAACCGTAATATTAGGTGGACCAGAAAGTAATGTCGTCTTTTAACCTCAAAATTCAAAAAAATAAATTTTTCAAACAAGTTTTTATTATTAATCAATAATTACATTAATTAATCACGTTATGAACAATCTTTTTCTATCTGGTATGCAAATTTTTAATATCGTAACGATCAAAATCATCAATCGGTTTTTTGATTGAAAATATTAGAAATAATTTGACATGCGTAGTAACGGCCATTACTTTTCGTCCTCCTAATAGTTACATTTTTACATGATCTTTTCATTCTGAAGCAAGTTGTTAATAATACATTAAAAATCATGAAAATTTCGTAATACGAAAGTTTGCTGATTAATGAAACAATGAAAAAGTTTGTTTTGAAAGCAGCCTAACTCCATTTTCCCCCAAAAAAATCAAGCTAGCAACCGTAATAGTTACATTTTTACATGACCTTTTCATTCTGAAACAATTTGTTACTAATATATTAAAAATCAATAATATTTTGTAACACGAAAGTTTGCTGATAAATGAAACGATGAAAAAGTTTATTTCAAAAGTGGCCTAACCTCAATTGTCAATGATTGTTTTCCGATTGTCTATAATTACTTCTAATGATAGAGATTTTGACATGGTAGAAATGTCATTAAACAAAATTATTTACCATTTGTCCTCCAAAGATTATTATAATATTATCAGAAAGTACCAAAAAGGTAATAAACTTTATTGTAAATCAAATGAAACAAAGAAGATTTTTGTATGAACAAAATTAATAGAAAATGCAATTTTTAAAAAGGGTTACACAATTCTAACGGTGAATCGATAAACTGCTTAAAAGTATGTTTCAATGCGTTTTGTCAGAAATGAACCGTATCAAATTTTCTATAAGACATCGATGAATGAGAATGAAAATTTGAAAATCCTGAATTTATTACCACATCGGGGGTAGACCAAAAAAAGTTCGACAATATTATATTGACATCACTGTATGAAAATATCAGACAAATTAAAACAGTAAAATTCAAGGAGATAATTGACCTACTACGACATATACCAACGGAATGTCATGATTTCTTCAAATCACTTTCACGCACGCAAAATGTAAATGAGCAGTAAATTGTTTTGTAATTGATGTAGTCAACAAATCTTTTGAATCGCATTAATTATGTTTCTGAAGTGTTTTAAAGATATGTCAAATAAATTGAGTATTGTTTTTTTTTTCAATTTGAAGAGCATCTTAAATTATGTTGAATGGACTTGGACTCCTTCAAATTTTCTAATGAATCTAATTGTTAATTTAGAAAATGGCCTAACTTCATTCTTGATAAATAAAATGCATATTATTCGTTTAATAATTATCACTATTTTAATAGGAACTGTAAATTGAATGTTTAACACCTTGATAGACCACTTGCACATACTTTCTCAATATTTCAATTACTTATTAATTTTATTTAGAGAATTTTGATGAAATTTTATTTATGTGACTTATTTTTCATCACTATACTTTTATTTTATCATATTATTTATATCAATTCATTATTTTATTTAATTTTATGTGACTTTGTTCTTCATCACTACACTTTCATCTTATTAATTATTGATATTTATTAATTAATTAATGTTTGTTTAATTTATATTTTATTTTTAACTTATCTTATCAATTATATTATTAATAAATAATTTTATTATATTATTTATATTTATTCATTATTTTATTAAATTTATGTGACCTTTTTTTGTTTTTATCAGTGTACTTCTCGTCACTTTTCAAAGTATCATTGTATCGAATATTTTCTCACAACTTTCATCTTCAACATTTCGAATGAAACTTTTGATGAATAATTTGAAATGAAAGATACAGAATAACTGCCATAAGAAGATAACTCACGGAATGCAGTAATCTTTCGATTTACAAGGGATGCACTGATGAGATAAGCAATGAGCTTATATCAGATAAAACTTTATCGCACAGTGTACTTCCTGTAATATCGATAGTCACATTTACAGACTGTTCATGGGAAACTTAAGTCAAACAAATTTATGCTAACCATAAGAGATTAATGTGTTCAAAAAATATAACACCATTATAAAATATGTTGATGATAGTTTTTAATTCGTAGGATTTATTTATTGTTATTTTATTTCAATAATATAGATGAATTTATAGATAATTAATGAGATAGAAGAAAAAATTAGTTATAATTGTGATCAGCTTATTTTTAGATGATTTATTGATTGATTATAAATAAAAAGTAATACACATTTGTAATTTTATACTGAAGATAATTTCTTTAGAAAATTGTGTAAATTAAAA